AACTACAGTAAAATCAGGCAAGAGAAAATAAGGAAAGAAATGTACATAGGAAAGGGAAAAAAATCAAACTATCCTTGTTTGCAGCTGACACGATCCTTTATGTAGAATACCCCCAGAAAAACTTGACCAGAAGACTCTGAATTAATAACAAATTCAGCAAAGTGATAGGATACAAAATCAGCACATGAAAATAAATATTGTTTCTGTACACCAACAATGATCCTACCAAGAGAGAAATCAAGAAAACAATCCCATTCACAGTAACTTCAAAAAATGTAAATAACTAGGTATTAATCTAACCAAGGAAATGAAAGACATTTATAACAAAACTATAGAATTCTAGCCAGGCATGGTGGCACATACCTGTAATCCCAGCACTTAGGAGGTTGAGACAGGAGGACTGTTATGAGTTTGAAGCCAGCCTGGGCTACATAGTGAATTCAAGGCCAGCCTGAACTGCATAGTGAGACTCTGTCTCAAAAAACAAAAAACAAAAACAAACTATAGAATTCTGGAAAATAAACTGAAGAAGAGAATAGAAAATGGAAAGACATCTCCTGTTCCTGGATAGGCAGAATCAATGTTATCAAAATGGCCATATTACAAAAAAATTACATATAGATTTTACACAATTCCAATCAAAATACTAAAAGCATTCTTCACAGAACTCAAAAGAACATCCTAAAATTTATTTGGAACCAGAGGAGACCCAGAATAACCAAAGCAAAACTGAGCAAAAAGAGCAAAGTAGGAGGCATTACAATCCTAGATTTCAAGTTGTACTAGAAAGTTACAGTAATAAAAAGAGCATGGTACTTGTAAAAGAAAAAAGATATGTAGACCAATGGAACAGAATAGAAGACACAAAAACAGCACTATGTACCTTTAATCATCTAATCCTTGTCAAAGAGGCTAAAAAGATAGTGCTGAAAAAACATGACAAAAATGAATCTGGACCCATATCCTCCCTCCCTCTCTCTCTCTCTCTCTCTCTCTCGCTCTCTCTCGCTCTCTCTCGCTCTCTCTCGCTCTCTCTCGCTCTCTCTCGCTCTCTCTTTCAGGTACCAGGAATCAAACTCAGAACCCTGCACTTGCCAGGCAGGAGCTTGTGCTGCTGAGCCGGATACATCCCCAGCCCTAAAATAGATAAATCTCTTGAAGACATAGGAAAGGACTTTTTCTGAATAGAGCCCCAAACAAGGAAGAAACAACACTGATAGTCAACAAAAGAGATTACACTAAATTAAAACCTTCCACATAGCAAAGGAAACAACACATGAAGAGACAACCTACAAAATGGGAAAACATTTTTGCCAGCTACTCCTCCAGCAGAGAACAAATGTTTAGAATATACCCAGAACTCAGAAAAATTAGACTTCCAAAAACAAAAGACCCAATCAAATGGGCAACTAAAGTGAATAGACACTTCTCAAAAGAAGTACAAATAGCCAAAGTACGTGAAAACAAAAATATTCAGCATCTTTGGTTATTAGAGAAATGCAAATCAAAACAACATTGAGATTCCATCTTACTCCAGTAAGAATAGCCATCATTGAGGACACACACACAAAAAAATGTTGGTGAGGATGGGAGGAAAAGGGAACACTTCTACACTGTTGGTGGAAGTGTAAACCAATACAACCACTATGGAAATAAGTACGGAGAGTCCTGAGAAAAGTAAAAATAGAAATTCTATTTGACCTACCTATACTTTTTCTTGAAAGAGTTAAAGTTATTATTATAGTGGCACATGTATATCCAGATTTATAGCAATGGAATTCACAATAGTCAAATTATGGAAGTGGCCTATATGGGTATCAACAGATGATGGGATTTTAAAATGTGGTGTATATATAATAGTAGAGTACTACTCAGCCATAAGAAAGAACAAATTTGAGTCATTTGTAGGAAAATGGATAGATCTTGAGGCCATAATGCTAAGTGAAGTAAATCAGGCAAAGAAGGTTGACTATGTCATGGTTTCTCTTGCATGAGAAATCCAAAACATAAATAAGGAACAAAATAATGAGAAATGGTGGGAAACAGAGAGGTCAATTCTTTGGAGATTGGAAAAGGATCTGGAGAAGGCGATAAGAGGATAGGAGAAATGGGAGTAAAAGTGATCAAGAGGCTATGTCTATACACAAATTCCCCAAAACAAGTATAATTATTATGTATCACAAATATGTACTAATTGAAAGAAAGGATCTCTGGGCCAGAAGGAGCGGCAGTTTGTGTGCCCAGTGTAGGTGGGGCAGCGTCCTGAGCATGTGCTGGGGGCAGGGCAGTGGGAGCCAGCAGCAGGAGGCAGCAGAGGGCAAGGTGGGGACTCAGGCCACCACTGGACAGCCCAAGGCTGGCGTCTGCCCATCCCTCTCCTTTAAAGAGGAAGCCTCATCATGTATGATAGGTGTCCAACTTCCCTTTAAATACAAGCTCCAGTCATAGTCTGGCCCCCTCCAGAACCTACCCCTACTCATTCTACCCAGGCCCACTGGCCTCTCAAACCCATGACAGGCCTCCAGGATTTAGTGTCCTCTGTGCCCTATACCTGAATGCTTTTCTCCTTCATATTTATATGAATTCTCCTTCTTTCAAACTTCCTCAAAGATCATCCCCCTTCAGATACCTTCTCTGCCTACCCTATCAAAAATAGCAGCCCACCCCCACCCGTCCCCTCATACTATCTTATTTTTCCTCATGATTTACCTCTCCCTGACACATATTTGGCTTGGCTTTGTGGATCTCCCCAGTAGAATGGAAGCTCCACGAGAGCAGGGACTGTTTAATTCACTGCTTTATCGCCAGCCTCTGGGACACAGCATCTAGGATGAGTAAACTCAATACATACTTACCGGGTGACCAGATGAATGTTTGACCGAATTCTGGCTCCACAATTTTCTAGTTCGCATTGTTGCTTTGGACAAGTTGTTTCACTTGCCAGAACTTCCAATGAAGAGATACCGAACACCCATCTCACAGATGTAGTGTTTCAGTGAAATAAAGCAGAAAGTGATTGGGACTCATGCATACTAGGTCACTAAGTGCTGTGTTTTGGATAAGCATCCCCCAAAAGATCAAGTAGGAAAGGTGAGGAGGTGGGGCCTCGTGTGAGACTAAGGTTAGCAGGGTGTGTCCTTGAGGAGGTTATGAAACTCCTACCCATTCCTCTTTCTCTGTTTTGCTTCCTGGCCATGAAGTAAGGGATTTTGCTCTGCCACAAGCTCCTGCCATGATGTGCTGCCTCACCACATGCCCAAAACTTTTTAAGGCCAACTGACCATGGACTGAAACTTTCAAAACTATGAGCCAAAAGAATCCTTTTCTCTTTTGAAGTTGATTGTCTCAAGGATTTTGTTGCAGTGACAGAAAGCTAACATGCTCCATCTGTCACCTGTTCACTGTGACACCACTGTGAGCTGTCACTTGCTCACTGTGAAGTCAGTATTCCTTCTGAGCTTCAGCTTACTTGCCTGTCAAATGTGGAAGTGAAGGCTCCTCTCTCCTATACAGGGCTACTGCCAGGCAGTAGACCTAGAAAGGCACCTAGTAGGGGATCTGGCACATAGCAGACCATTGCTGTGGTGCTGGACAGTCTGGGGTTTGGATATGGGCCCACCCCTGTCCTAGTCAGTGATCTTGGAGAAGTGGCTTAGTGTTCCTGAGCCCCAGTATCCTCATCTATAAAGTGGAAATAGTAACAGCATCTTCCACACAGGCATCCTTGGGACATGGTGAAGCTGGTCCCCTAAAGGGTTTCACAAACCTAAAGACCATGTGCTGTGCCGGGCAGGAGAGTGAGCCACAGACATGTGGGCGGGGCCCAGGGATAGGAAGAGGAAGCTCAGCTGCACAAAGCAGGAGGGCTGTGCCTGGTGGCTAGCAGCTGCAAGGTGGGCAGACACCACTGAACAGGGAACCCCTCCCCAGCCAGAAGCCTGCAAGGAAGGTTTTCCTTTCCTTGTCCCTGTCCCCTCCCATCCTTAGGGTCCCAAGGGGACCTCTCCCTCTACAGCAAGTATCTCTTGACAGGAGTTTTCAAGGGGAGCAGGTGATAACAGCAGGACCCAGAGGAGGCAACTTCTGCTTCTGTTCCCCTCCTGTGTTACCTGGAATACACACAGTGTGCCCAAGGAAGCAACTTAGATTGAAAGCCAAAGGGAGGGGAAAACCGGAAACAGTCTCCCTCCCCTTCCCTGACAGCTCACACCCAAATCGTGGAGCAGATGACCCCAACCTCAGTCAGCTTTCAACCCTGGGGACAAATCTGTAAGAATGGATCTTTGGAAATCAACAACGCCACACCCCTAATCCTGCAGCTCGGGAGAATTTAAAGAAATAGATTCTGAGTCCTGAACTGACCAGGACCCACCAACTATAGTCCCTTGTCCAGCTTGTGCTTAGCAAAACACAGATGTGGATACACAGATGACTCACTCAATGAACCGCTACACCACAATCTCCATGAGACAGGGTGTTTTGTTTTGGTTTTAGTCTGTTTTGTTCTTTGGTGAATTTCCAGTTCCCAGAAGCATCCCTAGTACTTTGTAAGTGCTTAATAAATACATGTTGAATGGATGGACTCATCAATAAGTCAATGAATGAGGCACTGAGTCAGTGAATTACTAGATGTGAAGTTCCCCATGGGCTGAGATTTTCCCCCTTGTGCTCTCTGATAAATCCTCAGGCCCTAGTATAGGGTCTTGGTTCAGAGAAGGTGCTAAGTGAATGTATGTGAACAAATGGTTGCCTCAACCATCGAATCACTGACGCATTAGGATACAATCTCTCTGAAGGCAGAGCCGTTCATCTGTTCTAAGGCCACCAGCTCAGTGTATAGAACAGTGACTGGTGCACACTGAGTGTTGAATGAATCTGTGAATGAATGAACGAATGAATGAATGAAGCCCCAGCCCTCAGTGCAAAGACTAGAGACCAAGAAAGATGAAACACAAAAACCTCCCTGCCCAAGCCTGGCCCCTCAACCACCACTCGCCTCATTCTTTTTTAAATAATTTGTTGGTTGGTTTTAATTGTTGAGGCAGTAATACTTGGTTCATGAAACTGCAATATACAGAGAGGTGAAATAAATAGCTTATATATATATATATATAATATATATAATATAGCTGGTTTTAAAATATTCCCTTATCATTGGTGTACTAGGTCACATGAGTCACGGAAGGTCCATAGCAGCATCCTCCAGAACTGCGAGCAATGCAGGGTCACCATGATTGGACGAGGCCGTCTGTCGTCAGAAGGTCGAGGCGCGGAGAATTCCCAGGGGCACGCCTTCCCTGCGCGGTGTCTCGGGACAGCTTGCAGCAGACAATAAATAAATGACTGCAAACCAGAGAGCGATTTTTGTTGGAATTTGGGGCAAGGACAGAGAATTAGGAAAGCTGGGGTGGGGGGTCGTTTGGGTAGAGGGTACTACTTTCTCTTTTTCTTTTTTGTTTTTTTTTCTTTCTTTTGCTTTCACAACCTTTGGGAAAAAGGACTTTGGTTTCTCGAGTGTTGGTTTCTTCATTCAAGTCCTCCTCTGGGGACAAGTTTGGAGCTGTCTTCTCCTAGAGAGAGGCAAGCACCTATGGGCTGACAAGGGTCCCTTAGTGAGTCTTTTGTCATTGGGGGTTTCAAGTCAACAATAAAATTCTTTTCACCCCCCCACCAGGAGTTTTGGTTCAGTTTTTGTCTTCTTTTAAACACAATGTACAAAAATAGAGCTTCTTCCTTATTTTTCATGTAAAAATATTCCTCTGATGCAGTTCTCTGGGAGTGTGAGAGTGGCCAAAAGGGCCTGCAGCGGCCACATGGGGTGTCTAGCCAGGGTGCGTGGGGCGGATGCGCCGGGACCGCTTGGTCACTGTCGTGTACTTGAAGGGCTTCTGCAGCTCTGCCTGCCCCTTGGGATAACGCTTCATGAAGTGCACATCTTGCTGGTTCTCCCGGGTCTTGGGGCCCTTGCGGGGCCTCCCCTTCTTGGTGAAACCCACGTACCAGCCAGAGTACTTGGCTGACATCAAGGCTGTATAGTTGTTCTCCAGAACCTTCTCAATGAACACACACTCCTTGCTGGTGCCATCAGGCTGTAGGGAAAAGAAGAGCAATATTAAAGAAGAAATTACTCAGCAAACCTTGTTAAAACATGGAAGGCTGACGTCATTCAGGACCAGGGTGACAGATACAAGGATCGTGGTGACGGGATTTTGCAGTGATGGGGAGAGACTGGACTCAACCTCCCACTGGACTCACTAGCCCAGCACGGGCAAGTGAGAGTTTACAACGAACAAACAACAAGAGAGTCACTGGGTGGAAAACAACTGAGAGGAAACATCACAGGTAAGGGGGATTCTGCCAAAGCAACCAAGCAAAGTTCCAGCTGAAGCCACACCAGGGTGCGGAGACACCGCCTGGGGCACGATGGAGGGTGAGAAACCCAATCAGATATCCAGGGTGATCAGATATTAAGGGTGCAGTGTCCTTATTAAACTGACTGAGCAAGGTTGTTGCAGAAACTAGATTCGACAAGGAAGTGCACCAATGGACACAGGAGGAACTTGACTAAAGTCTGGCCAGAAAAGAGTGAGGAGAGGGTAAAGAGGGGATAGCAGGGGTGAGGGAAAGTGCCCTGTGGAGAGGACTGGGGCATGTGGTTGGAGCTAGGCAGCACAGCAGAGAGGGCCTGAAGCGAGGTTTTCAGTTCTGTGGTGTTGCCTTTTGTTACTGGCCCTTGCATCTTCCCCTACCCCTTAGTTAGGTAATGGACTCCCACTGTCATTTAGGATACTTACTCCTTCCCCACTCTCTTCCCTCAGAACCAGGGACTCCACCTCACCCCTACTACAGAGGACCAGACCTAGCCAATCAAAACATAATTTCTGCTCAGGTTTCTCTGATTGGTTCACAGGTGGGCATGTGACCCAAGCCATCTAATCACAGTGTTCCTTGAGGCCTTTGTATAACTGACCTCAAAAAACATGGGCAAATTCCAACTGAAAGAGTTTGTGAGGCTGAAATGGAAGCAGCCATTTTATTACCAGGAGGGGAAATCCTGTCTGACAGTAATGCCAACATGAGGGAAGCAAAGCCAAGAGGAAGAAAGGGAGAAAAACCAAGTCTTGGTCACATCATTTGAGCTCTAGAACCAGCCACATCTGAGGCTCAAGTTACCTCACTGTTGTATGTGCCAAAACTGTCTCATTTCCTTGAAGCCAGTTGATATTGTACTCTGTCACTTGCCACAGAAATAAGTTCTGACAGATTTGCACAAAACCTGACATTAACTCAGCTACTCGACTGCAGCTCAACTCCACGGTGATATAGTTAAATGTAAATTATATTTACTGTAATGGGGAATGTGGCACATTTTAATACTTGGTATGAAGTAGAATAGAAGCTTCCAAAAATAAGAGATTTAGGGTGGCCAAACTCCAAACCTTGACTCTGGGATCTTGGGCTCCTGAGCAGATATATGAACTCTCTTGGGAGACCAGCCAAGGAGGGGAGGGAGCACTAATTAGTCAGAACCCTAATGAACTGTAACACTTCCTGTGTGACCTCAGGCTGGCTAATTCCACTCTCCAAACCTCACCCACCAAGTGAGAACAATGACTTCTGCGCCATAGAGACATGGTGAGGAATGATTCTTACAAATAAGTCTGACACACAGTAGGAACTTGCCACATTATTTTTGAAGACCAGGTGGTTCTTCAAAGGTCTGGCCTGCCTCCTTGGGTCTGCCTGAAAAGACAAAGGGTGGTGGGGGAGACGAATGGATGCTTGATGGGGAAGAGTAGGAAACACACAGCGTTGGAAGGCCCGGATTAGCAGCACTTGAGTTTCCAACTAACATCTCCAAATTTAGGCCAGGCCCACTCCTCGTTCCGGATGGCTGCCCAGCCAAGTTGGAAGCCCAGCGGTCTGGCTATGTGTGGAGACTGAGGTGCAGGTTCCAGCCTTTTGTTTGAAGTGGAAAACGGGCTAGAGCTTCCAGGAACGTTCACCTTTGAGCGGAGGGCAAGCCTGGGCCCTGCAGACAGAGTGCTGAACTCTGCAGAAAGGGACAGGCTGGGTAAGAAAACACTCTTTGGAGGATGACATCTTTTAAGGAAGCTGCAGAACATGACTTAGGAAACATCACTGGGGCCCAGAGAACAGAGTGGGTGGGGATGCAGCAAGGGACGATTGCAAGGGAAACCAGGGAACATGTGCAAGTCAGGCTGACAGGAGGGCTCTGGGTTCCTCGTGGACAGTTCTGGAAGCTGCCTAGAGTCCAACCTGAGCCTAAGCTCTTTGCTTGGCACTGAGAAACACAGCCAGAGGAAACTGAATAAAGGTTACATATATACCACGCTGCCTCCTCTGGAATACCTGCCACTGTCTGGGAAACGGTTTCCATCCCAAAAGGCTCAGCTCTGCGGCTGCCTCCCCTAGGAATCCTTCTCTGGCTGCCCTCTGTCTCCCTGGGAAATTTCTCTTTTTCCTCCCATACTACCCATCCATGCATCAAGTTTCACTGGGCTCCCATACTTTATTTCCTGAACCCTCTGGGCCCCATCCCATCCCAAACCATGCTCAACTGAGTAATTTCATACCTGCCTGCCTCCTCCTTAGACCAAGTACTTCCTTGGGGTCAGCATGCTCCCTTAGCTGCCCTTATGGCTGAGCCCAAGACAAGGATCCCAGAGCATCTGTAGTTAAATGACTAAGAGTCTCATTAGGATGAACGCAGTAGGGGTAACACATGAAAGAATCCACAAGAAAATAGACTTTGCCTTCTAGGTCCTTTACAAATGTCCCAGAGACGTCCCAGATGTCCTGCTGTGGGACAAGCTGAGTAAGGGAACAGAATGAGCTAAGGGCTAGAGATCTCTACCTACCCCGCTTTGTTTCCCTATATGTCCATTCAGCATTTATTGATTGCTGACCACAGGCAGACATTTCCACATCCATTACATCATTTCATAGAAAAAAATAGAGCTCAAAGAGGCAGCAAGGCTTGCCCAAGATCACGAGGCTGGTGAATGGCAGAGTTGGGACTTGAACTTACCCTCACCCCTACAGCTCACTTCTCTATCCAGTTCCAAAGAAGTCCATGGGGGAAGAAAGTAAGGAAAATCAGGTGCTGCCTGCCCAAACCCCTCACCTCTCCAGATCTACAGCACCACGACAGGCACAAAGTGAGACTGTGGATGGACAAGGAACTAACAGTATTCAGCACACACACTCAGCCCAGGCCTGGCTTGACTTCAGGGCTGAGAAAGAGGGCCTTGGCTTGGAATTCCCAGCACTCCTGAGTAGAGAGGGCCCCTTGGCAACTAACCACAGGACTACAGTGCTCACAAGTTCCCACCATGAACCCAAGCAGGAGTGGGTAAGAAACTAACAGGTCATACCTGAGTTTGACCTTGCCTCTACTCCTTTATGACCCTGCTGATCACCTGCACAGATTTAAAAAGCACCTGTGATTGGGGCCCCAGCTGCCAGAAATTTTGACTCCATTGCTGCAGGCAAGCAGAAGTATCAGTATTGAAAGAGGAAGTGAATACCCACCCCAGAGCTTTGATCACTAGTGGGATTCAATCTTCTTTCTCCCACTCCCACCTCCATCCTTCTTCTTTCCAAACTGGTGGTCCTGTTTCATCTGAAGACTAAATCCTGATGACATTATTGGGCCACTCAATCAAACCTTTCCTAAATAGTTCCCTATTTTTTGAATTCCAGTTACTTCCAACCAACGTGATCTTAACAAAGATGCTGGTGAGCAAGATACCCTCTACCCTGACAAGGTTGAAGGCTCGTAGCCCCCAAAAGGACTCATTAGTGGGCACACAAGCAAAGGCAGATGAGAAAGTCTGATCCAGGCGGAATCTCCAGAGATAGGAATGGTGTCTAGCACACGATGCCAGATAGGCAACAACTCCATGGGGTAAAAGGAAGTGCTGCCTCCTGGGCCAAGTGGAAGTGGTTCAGAGAAGTGGGGAGAAGCAGGGTGGTACCTGAGCATGCAGGGGCTTAGGGAGAGCTCTGCTCTGCGACTGGTACAACACACCAGAAGCAACTACAACCAAGGCTGGAGGCATCTGACACAGGGTTCAAGGCATGTGGCCTACACCCAGAGCTGGGGCAGCCCAAGGAAGCTATATGTTGCTCTCAGCTCCCAGGCTGAGGCCAAAGGTCTCCAGCGATGAAGGAGTGACTCCTGACCCAGCTTTAAAGGGGAGGGGACTAACATTTAACGAACATACTTAAGTGCCAGCATTATCATTCCATTTTATAGATGAGGGCACTGAAATTCAGCCAGACTGGGGCACCTTGATTCCCCAGCATGACCTGTGTAATTCTAGCTGGAGGCTGAGCAAGTCTGCAGAAGGTCAGAGCCGTATTGCTGTTTTCCAAGTGCCCCTGTGGCATGTCGATGGATGGATCCAGCGCTGGTTCTGACGAGCTCTCAGGCTGGTGAGGAATGCAAGCACAAGGACAGACTGACAACCCAGGGGAGCGGGGCTGATGGAGGGAGGACTGGGGGTTTGCGGGGTGGAACACTGAGGGGCCAAGAAGGATGGAAGCTGTTGAAGGATGAGCCAGTAGACAGCACAGGGACAAAGGGAAGGGCGGTCCCAGAAGGGAGCACAGCTCGGGAAGAGTCTGAAGTCCCCATCCAGTGAATGGTGGTTGCAAGTGCTGTGTGCCTGGGACGATGGGAGGCATAAACACTAGGGCAGCCCTCATGCCTCCAGTATCCCATGAAGGAGCACGGCCTTTCTCCACCAGCTAGGAGCCCCCACAGAGGAGTCTGGATCTAGGCTGAAGTGCAGAAAGGCAGTGGGCTGGTCACTCTGTGCCTTACAAAGGTCCAGATACAAACGCGGAGACTGGGACCCCACAAGGTAAGGTGAGGTGCCTGCAGCAAGTTCCTGGGAAGGTATGAGGCCAGAACGAGGTGAGCGTGGAGTTCGGAAGGGAGGGGATCCAGCCCTCAAGGAGGTGAATCCCAGGGTCCGGGCAGGAGTGGGCAGGGTGGGTGTGGATAGGCCAGCAGCCCAAGAGCCTATGACTCCAGCTCCAGGGGCTAGAGAGCAAAGGAAGACCGACTCAGGGCAGGTGGATTTGGGGTGCAGTCAGCGCCCCAGGTCAGCGGGAAGCCAGGAGTCGGCAAAGGGGGAGCCACGCGTGAAGAGGGCGGCCAGCAGGGGGGCGGGCCTCCGTCTCGAGCCAGCTGAACCGTCACCAATATTAATGACGGGAGAGAGGGCGAGGGGGCAGGAAATCGGAGCCGGCTCCTGTGGAAGCGGTGACTCAGCGGCCAGTCGGCGGCGGGCGAGAGGCGGCCGCGGCTGCGGGGGGAGCGGCCCGAGGGGACCGGGCTGCGCTGACCCCGCGGCGGCCCCGGGGGTCAGGATGCCGGGAACCGCGCGGGCAGGAGGGCGCGCTGTGGGAGCTGGGCACGGGTGCCGCCCGCGGCAGGGGGAGCGCAGGAAAGGAGCCTCCAACCCGAAGCAGGTTGGGCCTGGGCGGCGGCCCAGGCGGGCAGGAGAACAAAGCGCCTGACGCGGGACCCGGGCTGGGCCGCCGCAAGAAACGGCCTGCCAGGCCAGGGGGACCTGCGCCCGGCCGGCCCGGCCCCTGCCCGCCCCCTCGCCGGCCCGGCTCGCGACGACGGCGGAAAGTGAATCACTAATTAAAACCACTCCTGCATCCCCGGCTGCGCTCTTCGGATTACTATTATTTTGCTCTTTGAGCAGCTTCGGTTGGTATGGGCAGTGCGGCTGGAATCTTTTCCTTCCAAACTGCACTTTGAATCCGCCTAGCTCTAAAGTGGGACCTGGGACAAGTGCCGTAGACGTGGCCAAGCCTCAGCTTTCCCATCCGTGAAATGGGAATGGTAGCATAGTACCAACCTCGTTGGATTATTTGGAAGCATTTTTAATGCCTGGAAGAAAGTAAGTGTTCAATGAGAGGAAGTTGTTATCATTTGTGTGACAATTCCCTGGCCCATGTCCCTGGCCTATGGGTATGACATAGTGGGAGAGGGACAGAGTTAGGGGAATCAAGAAATCAAAAACAGCTTAACCTCCCCTTACTCCCACAAGGTGTAATAAACACAGACAATTTCCCAGGACCTGTCCCCAAGCAGGAGAGGCCCACCTCCTCCACACCCACTCCATCTATCCAGAGCGGCCCCCACCCCATTATACAAGCTAAACATAGGGGTAAAAAGAGATCTGCAGAAAGGAGACACAGGAAGCACGACCTCATCACAGCAGTCTCACCCTCCCCTTGCATATCCCTAGGAACAGGTGTGCGACCTTCCCCAAGCACCCAAAAAAAAGCATGGTGAAAGCCCCAGACTCCTTGGCCTCAGGGGAGCCCACCCCCTAACCCAACCTGTCCTAATTTGTTACATGCAGCCCTCTTGCCTGTTGCAAAGTAATAAAATCCTCCTGAAATGCTAGAACCGTGAGGCCCAGCACTGTCGAGGCAGCAGCTTCCGGAGGCCGCCGCTGCATGGTGCGGTGCTGTAAACCCCTGGTGATTGTTAAAATGATCACTGCAGCCACAGCCCTTGGCCTCTGGCTCCCTGTACCCAGACATCAAGGGCCTGTGGGCAGATGCCCCAAAGCCCCACGAGGGCTCTCTCACTACCCAGCAAGCGAGTCTCACACTGGCTAAGAGAGTACAGGGCTCTGCATACACTCAGGGTTTCAGCCCTGGCCCTGGCCCTGGTGGCTGCAGGAGCCGGGCCAGAGAAGGGGCAGCGAAAGGAGGTCCCAGTGGGTACTGCTCTCTCACCCATGCGCACAGCACTTGCTCACTCGCCAGGCCCGTTTGCAGTGTGGGGCTGACGGGACCCTACACATGCAGTTCCAGATCCCTAGAGCTGCGTGGGGCGGGGTTACCCCCAAGAATCCAGGCCATCACTCACCTTCCCCACGAGCTTGCCTTTGCGGTTCATACACAGGTAGAACTCCGTCTCCTTGCCCTTGATCCGGACTTGACTACCGAAGGTGTCTGTCTCCACTAGGAGCTGAGCTTCGAAAGGTAGAAGGAAAAGAAGACACATTATTTAACTGGAGACAGTGGCTTCGTCTAGACTCAGTGATTCAAAAGGCTCCCTGACCCTAGTCCTGGTCCCCTCACCGCCCCAAAGCCAGGGAAAGGAGGGTACCTCTCTGACACATCCTGTGGGAGCACTCTGCCCCCACAGCAGGGGCACAGAAGCTGTACACCTGTTCCCCAGATGAGCATCCTAGCTTCACTTGCATGACCCAGATTGTTGCAGGCAGCATGGCAGGTCTGTCCTTCATGGCTGAACACCAGTAGGTATCTCCCTCCAAACTCACCCCCACCTCAACGCCACTCCCCAATGCAGGACAGGCAGCCATACAAAAAAGTACTAGTCTCTAGATGAAGGGAACCGACAGATACACATTCATGTGTATGCATACACATACACTGCCTTTGACACATCAAGCTATTTCCTCCAAAAGTTCGGTCAGAAGCTCTCCCCTGGGAGAAACATCTAGAACCCCCACTCCTGCCCCCTGGCACCTCTGCCCTGGCCACCTGAAGCAGGAAAACACAGGGAGGAAAGCCTCTGGGAAAGGGGGCTAGATTTAGGATTTTTCACATCCTTGCATTGAGGCCTCCAAAGCTGGAGGGTAATGAACTCCAAAGAGCCCAGAAGTCCTAATCAGGACTAATTTCCCCTTGTCCCTGGCCAGACAGCCTATACTAGACCATCCATAATACACAGTGCCTCCCTCAGGCTGTGGGTGTCCAGAGCTGGTCCTCTAAATCAATGTTTAAAAAGGGGCACCACGGGATCAACGGTGACTCTCCCTTGATTAGGCATGCTGTGTCCAGATCCCTCTCTCTCCCTCTGGCAGTCCACACTTTTCCTCAGGATGGTGCTGAGTGACTATAGCCATGCACTCTCCGAGCTCTTGCTTCTTCTTGGTCTTGAATCTGGTGCCTGGCTCCCCGATCACCACTTCCCTGTCCCCACAGCTGCTTTCTTTGGCTTCTACCCTTCCAATTCTCACACCCCCTTCCCTGGCCCTTTGCTTCCCAGCACCTGCCCCCCCTTACCCACAAAAGTTTAATCTAAGCGACAAGGGACTTGCTTCTCCATAACCAAAACCACAGCCCCAAATTCCTGAGTACAGTATCCTTGGAGCCACAAAGAGTGTACCTTAATGCCCCTAAAATGCACTAGGTATGATTTTAATAAAAAAATTTACAAATATAGACCCTGGTGCCCTGCTGTGAAAATTGAAACCATCTGGAACTCAAGATTTCCAATAATTAATCTAGCCCTCCTTTGACACTACTGCTAATTAAAATATGATACCCACCTTTCCAATGGGGAAAAAAAAGAATTTACATAAAATTTAAAGATCTAACAAGAATTTAGTAATTCTGGAAACAAGGGGAGGTACATTCTTCTCTCCACCTTCCCCCCATCCCTAGTAAACAAAGAATCAGGAACAGTAACCAATTTTGAGATGGGGGCAGTGGGCTAGGAGCCTTGATCCTCCCTGTTCTGCCTGAATGCAAACCCCTTGTAATTTCCTCTGTTTGCCCCATTCCCGGGGCCAAATGGCACAGTGGCTCAGCGACTTCCTTCCTCTATCTCATCACAAAGAGAAGAGTCAAGACAAGTCCAGGAGCTTCTGTGAGGGCAGCATGTGCAAGGGAAAGGGCAAGAGCTTGGGGGTGTACATCCCCAGCCCCTCTTGCCTGTTTCTTCCCCTGTAACATGGACAGAATCATCCTGATTCTCCAACAGCGCCTGTGAGCATGATACACTAGGACAGCATCCTGTTCCCAGAGGCTGGGAGGGGAAGCTCAGTGACTTTGCTTTAAGTTTCCTAAAAACTATACAACCAAACTTTTTTAAGGAATGGAGGGAGGGAAGGAAGAAGGAAGGAAAGGTGGAAAAATCTGAGAGAAAGAGAGAGAAAAAGAAGGAAAGAAAGGAAGGAAGGAAGAGAAGGAGAAATGGAGGGAAGGAGGGAAGGAACCCCAGATATGTGCCCCCCACCCCAGGTATCAACCTCTGATCTGAACTTGCTTAGCTTCCTCCAGAGTGGCAGGCATGCCACACCATGAAGTGCACCAGAAAAAGCCCAGGGCCAGGTGCAGGGGCACACGTTTGTGATCCCAGCTACAAAGAGGCTGAGGCAGAAGGATCACAAGTTCAAGCCCAGTTTGACAAGACCCTGCCTCAAAATTTTGAAAAATAATTTTTTAATTAAAAGGGTTAAAGATGGAGCTCAATGGTAGAGTGCCCCTGGGCCCCACTCCCAGTACCAGAGAAAGAAATGAAAAAGGGAGGGAGGGGAAGGAGGGAAGGAATATCCAGAGCCAGGGCTCACAAGTCTGGCATCATCATCCTAGGCTGTGTGACTCTGGACAAGCCGCACCCCTTCGTGAGCTGTTTCCTCACCAATGCAAGAGGGAGGGACAACCCTATTCTCTCCCTGGAACTGGGAAGTAGGGTCTAGCACAAGGGCACAGAGGGGTGATGACAGGAAATAGGGGATGCCACGGGACTGGGCCCAGGACCCCCCAAGTAAGTACAAGGGGAAATTCTGCTCTATGTGCTCCTCCCACACATGCCCAGGCCTCTGTCCTCAGAACAGCTCCTGCAATGCACAAGAGCTGCCTCTCCTAGAAGCACCCCTGAAGGCACAAATCCCCATAGGCTTGAGTGTCTTTGTCCCCATTTTCCAGTGTAGGCAACTGAGGTTTAGACTAGCAACAGAGCAAGAGGGGCTGACATCAGGACTGCCTGCGGCTGTCTGCCAAAGCCAGCTCCAGGAAGAGGCCCCAGCTCTGGAGAAACCTGCCTCCAAGCACAACCCCCAACACCCAGCAGCCAGAGCCACTGCAGGAGGCCCTGGCTCATGCCAGAGCTGTCCAAAGGGCCTGGGGCTGGGGCTGGAAGGCACCTCTGCCACACCGCATGGGGAGGGTCTGCACCGGCCTCTGCTGCACCAGGGAGCCAGAAGCAGGCTTCTCCCCCACCGCACTCCACCCCCAGCCCCGACTGCAACACACAGTGCAGTGACCTAGACTCTACTCACTGCATGACATCATGAGGAGGGAGCTGGGCCAGAATTATGTAAAGTCTTTGGGGAGTAATAGCAGCTGAAGTTCTCTGAGAGATTTGGGGGGGGCTCCACCCAGGCCAGGTTTGCCGCAGAGCCTGCCTGGTCCCCAGCACTCCCTCCCGTGACCCAGGAATCAGAAGCTTCACCTCTGTCCCACTGGCCTTGTGGGGCCCACAGCAGGCCAGGCAGAGGACTGGATGGCACTATCTCCCTCCCTCCGGCCTGTGCAGCTCAACAGCTGCCTCCCTCTGCCATTCTTGCCTCCTCTGGCTTCCCCTCCACACATCAGCCGGAGAATCCTTTTAAAATATCAATTTAATTATGTATCCTCCCTGCTCAAAACCTCCTAGGGATCCCCAGCTCAGAAGAAAATCCAAACATCGTCTAACCCTGCTCTCCTTCCCCCGCTTCTTATCTCTCTCACAGCTCAGCCACAGGAGCCTCCGTGTTGCTCCTCCTCTAGCACCAAGCAGGCTCCTGCCCCACAGCCTTTGCACTTGCTTTTCCTGCTCCTGGAGGTTGCTTTCCCTGGAGCTCCCCATGGAGCTAATCTCCCAGGAGGCCACCCAAATGTCCCCTCTTTGAAGAAGCCTTCCCTGAGCGCGCTGTCTAATGTCAACACCACACTCCCAGTTCAGCCCCCTGTTCCCTGCACCTTGTTCCTCAGCACTCTTCTCCAGAACTGTCTGGTTTGTGCTACAGTTGGGATACGTGTTCCCCAAAGGCCCATGTGTTGAAGTTGGTCCCCAGCCTGTGGTGCTGTTGGGAGGTGGTAGAACCTTTAGCTGATGGGGCTCAGTGGAAGGAAGCTGGGTCACTGGGGCACACCCTCACAGATGACACTGGGAGGCTAGCTCCATCCTGTGTCTCTCTTTTGGCTTCTTGGCCAACGTGAGTTGAGCAGGTTCCTCTGCCGCGCACTCCCATCATGATATGTTGCCTTGCCACAGGCCCAAAAGCCACGTGGATATGGACTAAAACCTCCAAGACTGTGATCCAAAAGAAACCTTTCTTTCTTAAAGTTGGTTAGTTTGGATATCTTACTATAGGAACAGAAAGCTGACTAACACTATTTGCTGCCCTTTTTATTGTCTGTCCCCGTTTACCAGAAGGTGAGCTTCATGAAGACAAGGACCTATTTGCTCCTTTACCTCTGTGATTTCCAGCACCTCACCCAAGCTTGGCTCAGAGCATACGGCCAATTAGTAAGTTTTAGGGCTGGGGATGTAGCTTAGCAGCACAAGCACATGCCTGGCAAGCACAAGGTCCTGAGTTCGATTCTCGGTTCAAAAAAAATCAGTAAGTTTTAATATGTCACAAACAGCCTTGTGAAATAGGTATGCATTAGCTGGTTCACACCTGCAATCCTAGCACACTGGGGGGCTTAGGCAGATGGATTGCAAGTTCAAGCCCAGCCTGGGCAGCTGAGCAATTCAGCAAAACCCTTGCCTCAAAATTAAAAATAAAAAATGGGCTAGGGATGTAGCTCAGTGCCAAGGCCCTGGGTTCAATCCCCAGTACTAACACAGATTGACTGATTGATTATCGATTGATTGAGGGAAGTAAAGTGACATAGCCCAGGGTGCTCAGCTGGTAATGGCATAAGGTTTCAAACCCAGTGTCTTAGTTACTCTCTTGTTGCTGAGACAAAATACCTGATGCCCAAAGTTAAGGGAGGAAAGGTTTATTTGGCTCACAGTTTGTAGAGGTTTCAGTCCATAATCAGCTGGCTCCAAGGCAGGGTGGCATAGCAGATAAATATCACAGAGGAGAACAGTTCATGGTGGGCAAAAGGTAGCAAAACAAGCAAGGGACCTTAACAGTGTCTTTTTGCCCCTTTTATCTTATCCAGGCTACTCAGGGCAAGTAGCACTCATACCCTTAATCCTAGTGCCCTAGACCCTAACATTGCAC